AGCAGTGGTTCTGCTTGCTAGCCTTAGCATTGTGAGTGAGTGTATGTGTGTGTATGTATGTGTGTGCGTGCGTCGTTGTTGTTGTCGTCGTTGCGCCTCAGAAGGATTGCGGCCGGATCGGACCTCATCGGGTGGACATTATGCTCCTGAGTGTCAGCGGTAGCGATACAGTACCACTGGCGCAAGCGTTGATTAGTGCGCAGATGCATCCTCAGAAGGGTGTGTTCGAGAAACCACGGTTTGTTGCATTCGTTGTTTTCGCGGATGTACGCGCAGGAGGTTAAGGCATAGCCAGGGGGAGCAGAAGTTTTTCTCGCAAGCACCTGAAAAGTACTGAGCTCGCTTTGCATCACCTTCCGTTTGCATGGTTTGTCCGGCTTACCCTGGATAGCACTAAAGTCTACCGATCCATTTCTTCGAAAGTTTTGTGCTGAGCAGCAAATGAACGATTTCCTTCTCTCTTTCTCTCTCAACAGTATTGCTCCTTTATAGATATGCCCAAGATGAGATCCTTCAGTACGTGCAGCTGTCGACGGACGAGAACTACAGCATCCCATCGACGACGAAGGGCATCCCGGAGCACTACGTGCGATAGTATGTGCAACATTTTGTATTTTTTTAAATGAAGATTGCACTTTGGTGTCATTCCCTGTGTGCGACGAAAATCCTTTCTGTTTGCAGCCAGCTTTCATTCGAAGATCCTCAAATGGACAAAATTTGCCGGGATACAGATGAGGCGATGTTTGAGGTTATTTCCTTCTCACTTTTGCTGCTCCCTTTTGCCCTCATTCTCGTCACACACGCATCGCTAATTTGAAAGTTGTATTCTCGCGCTCGCACGCAAACAGTGTCGGATGAATGGGATATTGGCTCCTCGTTTTCTGTCTTCGAAGGTAAATCAAAACCGTTTGCAGTAGAAAGAAAACTGTGCGAAAAATGATCCAGAGGTGCAGAAATTGGTCGATGAGGATGATCCACTTGGAGTAAGAATATCATGACCGTCCGAGCTATCAGTGTGGGTGTCCTGTTTTCATGTTACTGGAATGTTCCCATACGCTGGGCGCAACTATGCTGGATCCTTCGGTCCTGGGCTGTGTACTTCCAGTTAGTACCCACCGCCTGTTCGGTGTATATGCGACACCTCCTCCGGGGACACTCCAGTGGTCATTTACCTTCCTGTGGGTATCAACCGCTAACGAGCGACATCCACTGATTGTCGGCAAAACGAGCAGCATTTCCGGCTCATTCAATTTTACTTTCTCGCATGATCACAAATGACATTTTGCACACCGCCTTTTCGGCGGAAAGTCTGATCGTTTATATGGTTGCAGCGAGACACGCCAAGTATCCTCCGCTGCAGCGCTTTCTCGCCACAGCAGGCGCTTGTTCTTAAATTTTCATCACTGACTACGTTTCGTATCCGCGCATCACTGGGTTCAACACACTGAGGAGTTGCTCGCGGTCCTTCCGGTTTCACAGTTTAATCATACGAACACAAAAATAAGCGAGGAGAACATTAAAATTAGCTAATAGCTACTGGATTAATTTATAAAACAAAGGCTGGAACGCACCAGGCGAGCCGGTGCGATCATGCGTTTTTGCATCAAAACTA